ATGATGATGGTGATGGTGATGCTGGTGATGGTGGTGATGACGATGATAATAGTGATGGTGATGATGATGGTGGTGATGGTGATGATGGTGGTGATGATGATAATAGGGTGATGGTGGTGATGATGGTGGTGATGATGATGTTTCCTGCAGAACCGATGAGTCAGAAGAACGGACCAATCAGGAGCCAGCTCTGTCTTCTTCTCAAGACTTGTCTGAAGGTAGAGTGAATAATATGAAGCTTTTATAAGAACTACATTCCCATAATGCCTTGGGGCCATGTTGACAGTGTGAGGTCTCTGTGTGATTCAGGTCCCTGTGTGGACCCCCTCCTCAGACAGATCTACAGCGACCCCCCCCTCACCCTGACCCCCCCCTTCAGCCCCCGGGTGAAGGAGTACCGGGCCGAGGTGACCTTTGACACGGTGATGGTTAGGATCCGCCCACAGCCCGTCAGCTCAGCCTGTCGGGTCCACCTGGACGAGCACCGAGGACCCAGGTGAGACCAGGACCTCTGACCCTGATCCTGACTCCAGACCCTAGACTCCTGAACACCGACTCCTCACTCCTGACTCCTGAACACTGACTCCTGAACACTGACTCCTGACTCTGGACTCCTGACTCCTGAACACTGACTCCTGACTCCTGAACACTGACTCCTGACTCCTGAACACTGACTCCTGAACACTGACTCCTGACTACTGAACACTGACTCTTGACTCTGGACTCCTGACTCCTGAACACTGACTCCTGACTCCTGAACACTGACTCCTGAACACTGACTCCTGAACACTGACTCCTGAACACTGACTCTTGACTCTTGAACACTGACTCTTGACTCCTGACTCTTGACTCCTGAACACTGACTCTTGACTTTTGACTCCTGACTCTTGACTCTTGAACACTGACTCTTGACTCTTGACTCCTGAACACTGACTCTTGAACACTGACTCTTGACTCTTGAACACTGACTCTTGACTCTTGAACACTGACTCTTGAACACTGACTCTTGACTCCTGAACACTGACTCTTGAACACTGACTCTTGACTCTTGAACACTGACTCTTGACTCTTGAACACTGACTCTTGACTCTTGAACACTGACTCTTGACTCCTGAGTCCTGAACACTGACTCTTGACTCCTGACTCCTGAACACCGACTCTTGACTCTTGACTCTTGACTCCTGACTCTTGACCTCACAGCTCAGAGTATTGAGTTCAGGTTCTTCGTCTTCGTCTCATTTCTTTACGTCTGACTCAAAGTTGTTGATGATGAAGATAAAACGTCTCTCTTCGTCTCCAGGATGGCGAACTACCCGGTCGGCCTCGGCAACAGCCGGATCAGCATCCTGGTGACGGACGACGACGGCGAGCCGGAGCCCGTCGTCATGACGATCTACACCGTCCGCGTCTACCGGGAGAGCCGGCCCAGTCTGCCGATGTTCGGGGATCACGTGACCTGCGGCTTCGTGCAGGTACGTCAGCCGCTCTCCTATTGGCTGCTGGGCTGTGGGCGGGGCAGGATGTGATGTCAGGTGATATCATCCTCTCACCTTCAAAATAAAACTCTTCAGTCACATTTTCTTTGTCATTCCTTGTTGTTGTTGTTCTGTAGAATGTTTCATTATGTTTCATAATAATCTGACGTGTTGATCCAGATTATCTTCACTGACTCAGTGACATCAGATCTACGTTTAACATTCAACACGACATTCTTCTGTTTGACTTGAAACGTTACAACGTTCACATTTTATATCTGTTCCAATAATTTAACATAAAATTTATTATCATTATTATTATTAATAATAGTAATTATATTATATTATAGATGAATTCGTCATCACCATAAACTTCATATCTGACATTTTCAAATTAAACACAAATCAATGAGTTTCTCAGAAAGAGAAAAAGTAAAAACTCCAGATCATCCTTCACTTCTACATAATAATAATAATAATAATAATATTAATATGTTTCTGGATTTTATGAATTCAATATGTATTTATTCTAAATTAAAGTTTGTAATTACAAAATACTTCCTGTTGTTTTTATTGTTGACCAAAGTTTGTTTCTCTCATTATTTTGTGAATAATTTATATATTCATGAATAAATATATCATTAATAGATAACAATTTAAAATGCATTAGTTACTCTTGATATATTTAAAGTAAATGTAAATATTTAAACAAAATGAATCTGATCCTAAAACAACAAAATGAACATTTTGACCTCAATATTTAATATTTTGTTTATTTAATATGTTCATAAAACAAAGTTCACCTTTAAATTCATTTATATTTATGTTTATCTATTCATCATAAAAACAGTTTATTCAGAATAAAGTCTCATTATTATTCTGCTACACAACTTAAATATTAATCTTCATTATAAAAGTGAAATCATTCCAAAAACTAGAATAATGAAAATTAAGTTACATCAATTTATATATATATATAATGTAAACAAACCCTTCTTTAATCGTCTTTATTATTTAATGTCATCTTTAATCTTTATTATTTATTATTTAATATTTAATATTTAACTGTATTCATATTTAACTGTATTCATATTTTACTGTATTCATATTTAACTGTATTCATATTTTACTGTTTTAATCTTTAACAGTATTCATATTTAACTGTATTCATATTTTACTGTTTTAATCTTTAACTGTATTCATATTTTACTGTATTCATATTTTACTGTATTCATATTTTACTGTATTAATCTTTAACTGTATTCATATTTAACTGTATTCATATTTTACTGTATTAATCTTTAACTGTATTCATATTTAACTGTATTCATATTTTACTGTATTCATATTTTACTGTATTCATATTTCTTTAACCTGCAGGTGAAGACTCGTTGAGACATTAATGTTACATTTAAATGAGAGAAAAACAGAAATAAACTATAAATATAAATCTGAAGTCATTTCATCACAAAAACTTCATTCTGGATTATTCCTTTGTTTTGATTCACAACAAACCTCTGAAACATAAACAGGGTTCACTATTCAATGACCACGTTTATCCATCACACAAAGAGGTCTTGAGTTCTGGGTCTTTAGTTCTGGGTCCTGGTCTCTGGTTCTTTAGTTCTGGGTCCTGGTCTCTGGTTCTTGAGTTCTGGGTCCTGGTCTCTGGGTCTTGGTCTTAGTCTCTAGATCTCGGTCTTGGTCTCTAGGTCTTGGTCTCTAGGTCTTGGTCTCTAGGTGTTGGTCTTCAGGTCTTGGTCTCTATGTCTCTAGGTCTTGGTCTTGGTCTCTAGATCTTGGTCTCTAGGTCCTGATCTCGGTCCCGGTCTTGGTCTCTAGGTCTTGGTCTTCAGGTCTTGGTCTCTAGGTCTTGGTCTCTAGGTCTTGGTCTCTCGGTCCTGGTCTTCAGGTCCTCTCTGTGTGATGAAGGCCGGCGGCGGTGCGTTTAATGTCCTCAGTGGGTGCTCTGTGTTGTGCCGCGGTGGTCCAGCGGTGGTCCAGCGGTGGTCCAGCGGTGCTGATCTCAGAGCAGCGTCCCGGGTGTTTGAGAGCTGACTCTGACTCTCAGGTACGAACAAGAAAATCCCTGTTAAGTTTTCTTCTCTCACTTTGTTGTGAACTGAGACGCCGCCGTGCAGAATGTGACGCCGCCATGAAGAAACCTGCAGAAGAAGAAGTGTGTGTGTGTGTGACGGCCCCTCTGAAGTCGGGTCCAGACCCGGCGGCTCCCACGGGGCCCCGAGCTGAGGTGTCCTGGTTTACTTTACCTCTGACCTCTGACCAGGAGAGGAGGATGCTGGCCAGAGATCTGTGGAACAAGAGAAGAAGAACTCTTTGATTTAAAGGAGAGAAGAAGAAGAAGAACTCTTTGATTTAAAGGAGAGAAGAAGAAAGAAGTCAATAATGAGAAGAAGAAGAAGAATGCTTTGATTTACAGGTTTCCTTGTATTGATCCAGGAGACACCAGATCACTGTCACGTCATCAATTCAAAACATCAATAAAATAAAACGACTCATCCAAACAGAAAAATATCAACTTATCATACATGAACGATCAGCTCTCCCTCCGCCCCCTGATTTAAAGGAGAGGAGAAGAAGAAGGAGAAGAAGAAGAAGAAGAAGAAGAGAAAGAAGTTAAAACAAAGAAATCAGCTTCATTTAATAAACATTGAGACTGAAAATATATATATATTTGTATACATATGTATATAAGTATAAGTAAATGGTATAAATGTCCTGTTAATATATATGTATATAATGTTAAAGAGTCCTCTGTGTCTTTCAGGATTGTGGTCTTCCGGTCCAGCCTGGTCGGTCTTGTGGTCTCCAGCCTCTCATCAGGACCCAGAGTTCACTTCAGACCTGCAGTTCAGGACACGTACCAGGTCTGATGTCACTTCCTGTCACCTGTGAAGACACAATGACACATTCACATTCTTCTTTGTTACACTGGATGGATTTAACTCTGTCTCTGTCTCACCTGTCTGTCTGTCTCAGGTCGGTGGGTGGTTCCGTGTCTCAGCTGTTCTGACAACAGGACGTGTGATTGGAGGGAGGTTGCTTGGCAACCAGACAGCTGTTATCACCCGTTGGTGGACCGCCCCCTTCTGCAGGACTGTCTGACGGACAGGAAGGTGAGTTCAGCTCAGACCAAACACTGATTGATTGGAACATCTGCTTCAACATGTGGTCCAACACGTGGTCCAACATGTGGTCTACTATGTGGCCTAACACCTGATCCAACACGTGGTCCAACACCTGGTCAGCAGTCTGAATCCTCCCGTCTCTCCTCAGGTGTTGTTTATCGGCGACTCAACCAATCGTGGGATGATGTACTTCCTGATGGAGCGGGTGAACTCCAGTCTGGAGGACTGGGGGAAGGCTCACGACACGCTGGTCTACAGGAACCTGAACAGGGGCCAGACTCTGGTGAGCTACTCGTATTATCCTCAGTTCTGGTTGGAGAAGAACCAGAGGCCCAACTTCAGACAGGCTCTGCTGCAGCTGATCGACAGGTGAGAGGGGACACACCTGGAGAGGTTCTCAGAGGACATGCAACGTTCTCCTGCTGATGACTTTTCTCCCTGAAGGTCTCGACCTCTGGTGAACTCTAACCTGACGGTCCTGGTGGTGGGAGGAGTCCAGTGGCTCAACACCAATCACCTGAGGACAGTCAGAGAGGTGCTGAACAGGTGAGCAGCTGACACATCCAATGAAACCAAAACAGTCACAACTTACATTCAAGTACGATTTAAAAATGTACTTTTATTTCTGATTATTTGCAAAAGAAGATTTTCACCAAAAATTGTGTTATTGTAAATTTGCGACATGAGTTTAAGAGATAATTTCATAGATAAGTTCTAGCCATAGACTTCTACTTAGGAGAACATGTTAGTGTCTTTTCTACCAACAACATCATCACTGAAGATGAGCTCCAGAACAGAGTGGGAACCCTGGGATCATGAACCAGGAACCACGTTTTCTTCAGACCTTCTTTGCTGTTTGTTTCATGTGTAAACAACACTATCATCAGCGTACAGGTTCACATCCACGCAGAAGCTCAAAACCAGAGGACCTAAACCTGATCCCTGTGGAACTCCTGTTCTGATTGTCATGTAAAAACTCCTGTTAGACCTTTACGGGGTGTGGTGGAGCCCTGAAACTCCACTGGTCCAGTACTGTAGACTGTACAGATGCTAAAGAAACCAAGAAAGAAACCGTTTTTATTGTCATATACATATACACGAAATTTGCCTTCTGCATTTGACCCATCCCTGTATATAGGGAGCAGTGGGCTGCCAATGATAGGCGCCCGGGGAGCCGGGGGTTCAGTGTATTGCTCAGGGACACTGGGGCTAAAGTTATGGGGCTAAAGTTATGGGGCTATCAAAGTCAGGATTGTGGTTTCTATGACACCACCTCCTCCTCCTCAGAGAGTCCCTCAGTGACGTCCTGGTGCTGGTGAAATCTTTGGGGATGGGGTTCCATCTTCCTGTCGACGGGATCCGGTCTCTCAGTCTGGTACGTTCACGTTTCCTGTCCGGCATCACGTTTTTAAAAAAGCTCTTCTGTACTCTGAAGGACTTAAAATGGATCTGTTCTTTCAGAAAGAGGTCCAGGATCTCTACAGAGAGAACCAGAACATCATCACCGCAGCAAAGCATCATGGGTACGAGGTGATTGACACCTTCAGCATCACGATGGGTCGGTACAAAGAGTTCCTGCAGGGACGATGTGCCTGCCACTTTCATGAGGTGATAGAGTTTGATATATCAGATAATAATGTTTATTCATCCTTTAAATAAGAAACATAATGAGAGGAATCAAAGTACAACTCTTCAATCTCAATGAACCTCGTTAAAGAATATCTGACTCTTCTTCTGCTGTAACAGGTGGAGAAGTTCTGGTCCTCCGGGCTCTCAGACGACACAACGTCCACAGCCAACACAACCGGAACTGGACCTGAACTAGGTAGCCAATCAGTTGTGCCAGACACGGACCAGGAGGCGTGGCCTAAAACTTCATCCTATCACGTGAGAGGACCAGTGAACCAGGTGTACTCTGAGATCCTGCTGAGTCGCCTGTGTTCCAAAACCAGAAACTGAACACCTGAGAGAGAGAGAGAGAGAGTGTGTGTGTGTGTGTGTGTGTGTGTGTGTGTGTGTGTGTGTGTGTGTGTGTGTGTGTGTGTGTGGAGGATCAATGGAGCTCTGCCGAAGGATGAATAGAAGGAGAACTTGTACTTTACTGATGATCTTGTGATTTTCAACGAGTTCTTAAAGTGACAAAAAGACGTTATGGTCCGAGGTGAAAAGGAACATCTGAACACATTTCTCTTCATTCATGCTGATGTTTCAGCTGCTTTGTAATGATTCTGTTGTTACTCTAACGTTTAGTAATTGTTAGTTCTTAATGCACACAAGTTAGCTTCAAATGCATCAGCTGGTTTCTGATCTGCTGCTATTAGAATAAAGTAATAACTGGATTTAACTAGTTTCTAAAGCTGACTTGCTAGTTTCAGTGCGCACTAGCTATATCTTACACACAATAACTAGTTTCTGATGTACTTGTCTTTATACATACAAACACATTTATGGTGCATACTAACTAGTTTCTTATGTGTAGAAACTAGTTAGTATGCATACTAACTAGTTTCATATGAGTAGTTTCTGGTTTTTGACGCATATTAACTAGTTCTTATGGATGCTAACTAGCCACTGGTGCCTACTTTGTAGATTTTGATCCTTGCTAGCTATTTCTAATGCATTGTAGCTCGTCTGTGATGCATACTAACTAGTGTGCTGTGCATACTAACTAGTTTATTATGCATACTAATTAGTTTGTGATGCATACATATTAGTTTGTGATACACTAACTACTTTTTGTGCACAATAACTATAGTCTCTGATGCATACTTACTAGGTTTAGTGAACAATAACTATAGTCTCTGATGCATACTTACTAGGTTTAGTGAACAATAACTAGTCTCTGATGCATACTTACTAGGTTTAGTAAACAATAACTAGTCTCTGATGCTGACCTGATCAGTTTTTCTGTATCTGCGGTCAGAGGAACATCCTTAGTAATATTATAGAGGATTCATATTTATATATATTTATATATATCATATTTAATCACTTTGTCTTTTCCTGCCTCTTCCATATGTAGTTATATGTATAAACCTCAGTTATTGACTTTATTTTGTATATCAGATAATATTCAGAACCAAAGAAATGTCTTATTGATTCTCTGCTTATGTTTCTATATTTTTCTACTGATGTATATCGTGCCTTTATCTCTAAACATGTTTACATGCTTTATATGAATGTTGTGATTCTCATCTTTAAAATATGAAAATGAGAATTTATCAATAACAAAAGGATTTATTTTACTATATTTTTGACAAAACTCTTTATTGTATTTCATGAATGTTTAAGTATCTCTTTTCAAATATTTTTTCTACTTTAAACTTTCACAAATTCATCTTTTTAAAAAACTGTGTAAATTGTGTTTTTATACATTTTAAAGTTATAAGTATCATAAAACTGCGTTTTATCAACTGCTGTCCTTGTTATCTTTGAACTCTCTCTCTTTTATTTCTTTATGTCTTCATCACTTTATCTTTTATATCTTTTTATTCTTTCGTCTCTTTTCATCTGATTAACTTCTCTTTCATTGTGACTGAAGTTCTTTCTTGACTGACGAAGCAGTTTAATGAAGAAGTTTATTATTTGATATGTTTTGTGTCGATGTGAGAATCAGACAAACTGAGGTTTACACCACAGACCAGTTCGTCCTGATGGCTGATTCACTTTGTTGATCAAATGAGATAATGCAGATATTCGTATAATAATCATAAGTGAGTCTCTGCTGCTCCTGTTTCTTGCTTTAGTCGAACCCGTGAACCGAACTCATTGAAAGACGAGACCGGGTGAAGACCAGCAGACTGCTGTTTGTGTCTCTGGTCTTTCTGTCCGTCCAATTAGCGTCCGGCTGTGACGTCATCTTCTGAATATGAATCCCCTGCTGGTCCAATGAGGATCCTCCCGGACTGAGACGGACTGGGTCCACTTCACCCTGGACAGTCTGCAACGCTTCATATCCCCGTTAATGAACCGAGCCCCGGACTGACCCACGTGCTGCTGGACCGGGTTCTGGTATGAGACGGACTGAGCGCAGGTAGATGAAGAGGTCATGGAGACCCGGAGCTGTGGAGTCCGACACATGTGCACTCTGACCCTGCTGCTGGTCTCTGTGTGTCCGCTCTGCTGCAGAGCCTCCTGGATGTGAGTAGACCAGAGACCGAGAGGGACCCGCTCCGTTTAAGGCCTCGCAAGATCTGATCCGGTTCATGGATCTGATCCGGTTCATGGATCTGATCCGGCTTGACTTCAGAGATCACAAAGTTATTTTTCTACTAACACCAGAATCGTGCGCGTGCATCTGAGCGGCCTGCTCGTGGATCTGAGCTGAGCGCGTGCGTTTTACTCTGTAATTCATTTTAACTTGAAGTATTAATTCAATTATTTCTTAATTTAATTCACCGCTTCAGATTATTATTCAAATCCCGTTTTTAAATTCATAGAATCCTCGTTATAGACGGTTATTAATAAAGTAGTTTAAAGTCTAATTTATACATAAATACAACAGATCTTCATGTGAACACTGAGCAGGAGACAGTGAGACGGTTAGATGGTTAAATATCTGGAATAGAGATTTTATGTTTCTCATATGATTTGTTTTTATCTCATGATGTTAAATTGTCTTCAAATTGTTTCAGATTAAAATCTGAAGATGAACTTTTTAATAATTTAAATTAAACGAATCATAATAACGTTCTGTTATTTATTGACTTTGAGCTGAATCTTTGACGTTAATATAGATTTATGATCTTTAATTCAGAGCTCGTCCTCCTTTATAAAGACATTCATCTAAATATATTTAATATTTGAGCTGAAACAGATTCGTTACATTTACAGAAATAAAACAGTTCACTTTAATAACTGATATTAATAACTTCATATTCTGGAGCTATCTTTATTATTCTAGTATCCTTCATTTCAGGCCTGTGGATGAGTTTTACATATATATACTATGTTTATATATATATAATACATATATATATACAACTATTATATATTATTATAATTGATTATATATAGTAATTATTATATATATACTAATTATATATATTGTATAAATTATACCTCCTGTTTCTGTCTAGTTGTTTCTGACATTAACACTTTAACATGTTTACACTAAATTATTTAACGCATCTTTATTCTTAATATTTACATTTATTACGAAATGTATCAGAGTTGTTTTCTCCAAACATCAGTTATTGTGATAATCTCTAAATCTCAGTTATTATAATCACATATCTCTATCAGACGCGTCTCCTTGTGAACAGAACGGGGTCTTGGTTCTCTGCAGACCGGATCAGTAAACATGTTGTTCTGCAGGCGGTTGGGTTTGACCCCTACCGGACCCCCTGAGGACCAGGACCAGGACTGTGCCGACCTCCCTCTGAGCCCCAGACAGAAGGACTTGTGCAGGAAGAACCCGTTCCTGCTGCCAGGCGTCCGGAGCGGAGCTCGACTCGCTGTCTCCGAGTGTCAGAGTCAGTTCAGACACGAGAGGTGGAACTGCTCCACCACAGAGGACGCGTCTGTGTTCGGACACGAGCTAACCAGCGGTGAGGACGGTTACCCATGATGCAACGCTTCATGTGAAGCTGGTGGAGGAACTTCAGCTTTCAGGGTTCTTCTAATACTAACCAGAAAATAGTTAGTATGCATCACAAACTAGTTAGTATGCATCACAAACTAGATAGTATGCATCACAAACTAGATAGTATGCATCACAAACTAGATAGTATGCATCACAAACTAGTTAGTATGCATCACAAACTAGATAGTATGCATCACAAACTAGATAGTATGCATCACAAACTAGTTATTATGCATCACAAACTAGATAGTATGCACATAAACTTGTTGGTATGCATATGAAACTAGTTAGTATGCATCAGAAATGAGTAAGTATGAACCAGAAACTAGTCTTAATGTTCACAAAAGTACGCACTCAGCTGTAAGTTCAGAACATTTGAATCCAAGACGAACAGAATAAGTTGAGACTAAACACAAAGATCCAAATGTTCAACAGAGTTCAGATGTGGAGGACCAAGTTTGTCTCATGACTGCACAAAGAAAAACATAAACTTGAACTTGTATATAATCAGAAGCATATTTTACCAACTTTACTTTATTTTCTTCAGACCTCCAGTGAGAGTGACAGAATGTCGTGTTTATGGACAATAACTGATGTTAAAAGATGTACGGAAGATTTCTCACAATCACATTTTAGTCTCGTCACATGTTTTAGATATTATATTATAATAATAAGAATATTAGAAGCATGTGAGACGTCATCGGAGATGGACAAAAACTAAACAAATGGTAAAGTACTTTAAGTTCTATGAAGATCAGAGCAACTAAATCAAATAGAAAATACGTATTTTACTTTGAAATATTGTTTTGGATTCAGTTTTGTAAGTGAAAGTATAATCACTGAGAGAAGTTTAAGAATATTATTTATGTTTCATGTTGTATTGGAGTGTTTTAATATTTTTATTCTGACTTTTCAACAAATTATCTATTTCCTCTTCATTACCCGGACTGAATTATTCCAAACTGAACCTGGAACTAGACTTGAAACTTGTTGGTTTGTCTTCAGTGATCAGTTTGACCTGGAGAGACTCGATCACTACAAGAGGTTTCCACCCCCTCTGATGTCACACTGACCCCCTCTGATGTCACACTGACCCTCTCTGATGTCACACTGACCCCCTCTGATGTCACACTGACCCTCTCTGATGTCACACTGACCCTCTCTGATGTCACACTGACCCCCTCTCTCCCGTCCTGTAGGAACTAAAGAAACAGCGTTCATCTACGCGATGATGGCGGCGGGGCTGGTCCACGGCGTCACGCGCTCCTGCAGTCAGGGAAACATGACGGAGTGCAGTTGCGACACTCGGTTGCAGGGCGGCGGCTCGCAGGTGGAGGGATGGCACTGGGGGGGCTGCTCGGACCACATCCAGTACGGGATCTGGTTCAGCCATAAGTTCATCGACAACACAGTCAAAAACACATCGACGACCAGTGGAGGATACACACTGAGCACCATGAACCAGCACAACAGTGAGACTGGACGACAGGTGAGGACGACACAAAACATATTGTTTCTGGTGTAAGTTACACAAGTACACTTGACTTGGAACTTGTTGGTATTGACTCATAACTTGTTGGTCTTGACTCGTAACTTGTTGGTCTTGACTCGTAACTTGTTGGTCTTGACTCGTAACTTGTTGGTATTGACTCGTAACTTGATGGTCTTGACTCATAACTTGATGGTCATGACTTGTAACTTGTTGGTATTGACTCATAACTTGATGGTCTTGAATCGTAACTTGTTGGTATTGACTCGTAACTTGATGGTATTGACTCGTAACTTGTTGGCATTGACTCATAACTTGTTGGTATTGACTCGTAACTTGTCGGTATTGACTCATAAGTTGTTGGTATTGACTCGTAACTTGTCGGTATTGACTCGTAACTTGTTGGTATTGACTCATCACTTGATGGTCTTGAATCGTAACTTGATGGTCTTGACTCGTAACTTGATAGTCTTGACTCATAACTTGTTGGTCTTGACTCATAACTTGATGTCATGACTCGTAACTTGTTGGTATTGACTCATAACTTGATGGTATTGACTCGTAACTTCTTGGTCTTGACTCGTAACTTCTTGGTATTGACTCGTAACTTGTTGGTATTGACTCGTAACTTGTTGGTATTGACTCATAACTTGATGGTATTGACTCGTAACTTGTTGGTATTGACTCATAAATTGTTGGTATTGACTCGTAACTTGTTGGTATTGACTCGTAACTTGTTGGTCTTGACTCGTAACTTGTTGGTATTGACTCGTAACTTGATGTCATGACTCGTAACTTGTTGGTCTTGACTCGTGACTTGTTGGTATTGACTCGTAACTTGATGTCATGACTCGTAACTTGTTGGTCTTGACTCGTAACTTGATGGTCTTGAATCGTAACTTGATGGTCTTGACTCGTAACTTGTTGGTATTGACTCGTAACTTCTTGGTCACGACTCGTAACTTGATGGTATTGACTCGTAACTTGTTGGTATTGACTCATAAATTGTTGGTATTGACTCGTAACTTGTTGGTCTTGACTCATAACTTGATGGTCTTGACTCGTAACTTGATGGTCTTGACTCGTAACTTGAAGTTAAGGTAAGTTAAATTAAACCCTATCTGTGTCCTTCAGGCGATCGTCAGAACGATGGCAACTCACTGCCGTTGTCATGGCGTCTCTGGATCTTGTGCGGTGAAGACGTGTTGGAAGACGGTTGCGGCCTTCGAGCACGTCGGCGCGTACCTGAAGGAGCGGTACGAGCGCAGCGTTCAGGTGTCGGACCGGTCGAGGAGGAAGGTGAGGAGGAAGGATCAGCGACGCCTCCCCGTTGACACTCACCAGCTCATCTTCTTCAACAAGTCTCCGAACTACTGCCTGGCAGACCGGCGGCGGGGCGTCGCCGGCACCAGAGGACGCCACTGCAACCGGACGTCCGCCGGCTCCGATAGCTGCGTCCTGCTGTGCTGCGGCCGAGGATACAACACTCACCTGGTGAGACACGTCCAACGCTGCGAGTGCAAGTTCGTCTGGTGCTGCTACGTCCACTGCAGGCGCTGCGAGAGCATGAATGACATGCACACCTGTAAATAAAGACAAAACACACCTGGACATAAAGACCGAACACACCTGTAGATAAAGACAATCCACCTGGACATAAAGACAGGAACACACCTGGACACAAAGACCTGAACACACCTGGACATGAAGACAGGAACACACCTGGACATAAAGACCTGAACACACCTGGACAT